TATATTATATAATTTTGAAATTGTTTTAGTTCTTAGTATTATGATTGATTCTTGCTTAATAAAATTATTTAATAAAAAAACTAATCATGTTCTCCGGTTGTTGCCAAGTCTATTCTAAAACTTTCTAAAATTTCCAGTTTTTATATTTATATACATTCATTTTATTAATTTATTCATTTGTTAGCAAAGCTAGAATATTATGAAGTAGCTAGGTGCTATTCATTTTTGAAGGTGAATCAGCAGCTGGTTGTTAAAAATAGAATAGGAAAGGAAATAGCTTTAAAAGCAGATTGATGAAGATGCTTGTAGCTTCATAACAATATCAATTGTAGTAGAATTAATTTAGCTGATTTGTGCTTCTAATAATTTTTTTCTTCCCTCATTATCTGTCAGTTTTAATCTTGATAAAATAGGATAGTAAAAAAAAGAATAATACAGCTTTATTATACAAAATCAGATATATCCCCTAGTTTGATTGTTAAACAAAATAAATTTCCCTACTTTTTTTTTCTCTTTTGTCATAGTATTGATTTAGAGCTAAAATTTGTGAAGATCTATCTGTTTCTATCTAATAAAAATATTTTTTTAAACTAAGTGGCTTTGCTGACCAACCCCACAAATTGCTACAATCATGTTTTGTTTCTTGACAATGGAGAGATTGTTACATCTAAATAAAAAATTATTCAATCAAATTATCCCCAAATGTTTTATTATATTAACACAGATTTAGTTTCTGATTTTATTGGGATAAAATTTAAACATATTTATTTTGCTGCGATATCATTGCAACCTCATCTACAATTTTGTTTTATTAATTCCTATATAAATTTTGATTACTTGAAAGACTCATTAGATGTTTTTTGGCAAAGAGTTAAATTAGTAATAGTGCAAAAAATTAATTCCTTGTATTGTTTTAAGTGTAGATTCATTATTTCTATTGCACAGTTTTGCGTGCAGTTGTACCGTAAAGCTTGTAATATAAGTGAATATAACTTATTTACTGTTTAATAATCAGGAAAAGATCTATAAGTTTATATATTGATTTAAATATGTTTACAATAAAATGCTTATAAAATCATAGAATTACTTTATAATAAATAAATGCTGCTTTTAGTTTTAAACCTTCAATTTGGAATAATAATCAAAACCAAAAACATGCAAGTAAACATTTTTAAAGTGGGTATAAAGAAATGCTTTACAGGTAAACAATATTTTTATAACTTTTTTTGTTAACTTTATGCTGGTGACAACTAATGAAATCTGGATATAAAATAAAATATTTTTATCCAGTTTATGCCAATTAAATATTGATATTTAGGTTATTAAAAATTGCACATAATTATATTATAGTGTTAATAGTTTATAAATTATTATTATTATTATATATTGCTGAGTTTTATTTTACATGATTGACCATTCGTTATTTTTATTTTTCAGGAAGTAAAAGGTGGTATTGATGTATGGCATGAAGATGTCTCATTTTATCAAGTATTAAATGAACAGGGTAAATATGTTAACTTGTTTAAAAATAGTTTCTTCCTACCTTTCTTTACCTTTATCACCTTGTGTGAAGAAGTGGTTTGTAATAAATCCCTGCACTTTTGAAATAATATTTAAAACTCTTATAATTCTTTCTTATAAATCTTATATTAAAGAATAAAGTGAAAGTTTATTTCTATTTTTTTCTGCAAGAATTAGTTAATGAATTTTGTTTTTTCATGATTCTAATGAAATTCTTTATAATTTTTCAGTTTAAAACTTAATCTTCAAAATCGTATTTTATTTTAATGTAGCAAACATGTTTCTGAATCTTCAAGTTCTTTGAATAAGCTAAAATAAATTTATCCTAAAGTTGTATTTAAAACAAAGTCTTCGTATAAATAAATTTTGGTTGCTTTTTTGTTACTATGTTAAGTTCTTTTATGTGTTATTATTTTTATAATAAATGGGTAATTTCAATAATAAAATAAACAAGTAAATGGTAAATAATGATAAAATGTAAAATTGTAATTAAAATGGTGAAATATATTGGTAGTAAGTAAAATGGGTAAGTAAATCCAATAAATGGGTATTCTATGAAAATTTCTTTGTCAAATTTCAGTTAAAGTAAATGTCTGATTGTGTATAGTACATAGTAAAAGCTTGATATAAGTATGGCATGTTACTAGAAGTCTGCTATTATGACCAGTTTCTAAGTCACCTTCAAAATGCTGATAAAGATACTAATATTGTATGTTTATAACTATTTAAAAATTGCTAGCATTTTGCTATTGCAAAAAATTTTTGTTTGAGGGCAAAAAAATTTTCTGGTGTTTAAGTGGGCAACATTGTATGAAAAATGACAAAATGGAAGACATTTTTATTTATATCCGATAATTATATATTGGAGGTAAGTAAAATATATTGGTGGTAAGTAAAATATATTGGTGGTAAGTAAAATATATTGGTAGTAAGTAAAATATATTGGTAGTAAGTAAAATGGGTAAGTAAGTAAGTCCAAAAAAATGGGTATTGTATGAAAATTTCTTTGTCAAATTTCAGTTAAAATAAATGTTTTTTTGTGTATGGCAGCAAATTTTTTTTATCATTCAGAAGTTAAAAAAATTTGCTGTTAAATTTGTTGTCTATTTATTTAACCTGTTTTTTAGCTATAATAATTGAGGTATTTCTTTACCATTTTCCTTAAATTTGCGAACGTTATAAATATTTCTACTTCTTATGTAAAATTGTTTCAATTATATTGATAAGATTTTTCAATATAAATTACAATTTTAATTATGTTCATAAAATGTAATTCTAATCATAAGTTCTTAAGGTATTTTTTTGAAAGACAAAACTTGGACCTAAATATATAAAAACATTACCAATCTTGAATTCAGTGTACACAGTTTGCTATATTTAATTTTAATTGTATACTTAAAAAAAAAATATCAGTACAGTTTTGAAAATTATAAGAATTTAAGAATTGGATGAAAATAAGCGCTTTTTAACATTAGTTTACTACCAACTTTACATAGATTTACAAAGGTATAGTTAAAGCTTGACATAATGAGTGTGGCATTTTACAAGAAGTTGGCTATTATGACAAGTCTCTAAGTTACCTTCAAAATGCTGATAAAGATACTATTTAAAAAAAATTGCTAGCCTTTTGCTATTGCGACAAATTTTTTGTTTGAGGGCGAAACATTTTTCTGGTGTTTAAGTGGGCAACATTGTGTGAGAAGTGTCAAAATGGAAAGCATTTTTATTTATATCTGATATCACATAATAAAGTTGAAAACAAAGATCATTTTATGTTATTTTCTTCCTTGAATCTTAATCCTTTATGTTTATAAAGCAAACATGTGTGGGTAACGATCAGACAAGTTTTCTTCCTCCTTAGAAAAAAAAAAAAATAAATCCCTTGCTATTTCAGGCCCCTGTGTTTGCCATTTCTTTGCCTGATATCTACCATGACTCTTGAATTCATACCCAGTACAGCTTACTATTTTACATCTTACTATTGAAATCAACATTCAATGTTGTCAGTGACTTTAAAAACTATTTCATACTATCACATTCAAGTCTTTTTTTTTTTAAATTCCTATTTTAATATTGACTCTTTGTATTTGCTTATAATGACAAGGTCATTAAAACAAAAATTCCATCTTCTATTGTCAAATGTCGCTATAAAAATATTTTGTTATATTGTCTTTTTGCTTTTATGGCCTAATTGTTATTCACTGGGAAATAAATATTTGAAGGACAAAATAGTTGGGAATGTTTAATTGTGTTTACAATTATTTTATTTTTCTAAATCAATCTAGAAACAATTTAAATTTAATTATTTTTTCATTTACCTCTGTAATTAATCTTTTTTGTAAACAACTGTATGTATCATAATTAGAAATTTTTTAATTAATCTTAATTATTCTCATAGGTAAAGAACTAGCATCATTTTATATGGATCCATATTTTAGAGGTGCAGAAAAAATTCAAGGCTCTTTAATTGAAATTGGTAGAAGTAAGTATAATTTTAATCAAAATTTTAGTATGTTATTATAATTTATATTTTCTAAGCAAAACATATTTATATGCAAGGCAATTATATTTCAAGAATAACATATAGTACATTACTACTAATAATAAATTTTTCCAACTATTATTTTTCAAATATAATAATAAATTTTTTATGTAAAACTCCCCACACACATTATGTAATTGTTTCAAACGATAAAAAAATTTGCTTGTTGTTATGGTTACAAAAATTATTGATATTTTAGTAGAGAAAAAGAAGTTACTATTGGCAAAGAAGCTCAGTAGATGAGTTAATTTTTTCTAAAGTTGAACAATAGAAACCTGTGATATATGTGCTCTTTTTCTTTTAGTGAGAATTGCTCGTACATTTTCAAAATCTTAGGTTCACTGTAATCAAAAATGATTTTAAAAATTAAGGCAAAATTCTGAAACTTGAATAAAAATATTTTGTAATAAATAATATTCCAGTGTGTAGTTTGAAAATTTTTGAAAATAATACCATGTTTTTGCAAAAGAATGTTATCTGAAAAGACTCCCTATCTAAATTGTGCCTGAGGCCTTAAGATCTGTAAATTGGTCGCTGACTGTGGTGGAAATTTTTTCAAATAGTTTAACTTTTTATGTTTCATGAGAGCTGTACATAGCTTACAAATTTATTTATTTATTTTTTTGCTGTTGAAAAAAGTGGTAGAATTTGGTAGTCTGTGTATTCTCACTCAGGAAGCAAAAAAAAAGAAGAAAAAAGCGACTAACAACACTAGCGTATTATTTCAAACTGTCCCAGGCATAAAGGAAACTCTTGAAGAATGTGAGAAGAGAGCAATGATAAGCTGAATAAGATGATCCTTTCCTCTGTTTTCTGCTTGAAGTTTCCATTCCTTAAATCACTAGCGTAAATTCTACCAATACCACATGACTCATACATGACACAAGACATTTTCTAATAGTTGAATTATAAAATGCATAGTGTGTCTTAAATTGTTCATTTTCTCTGAATTATCCATGAATTATATATTTTTATTTTGGATTTCATTCTACTTATTCACTAGTTTGTTTAATGATATAAAAATGTATTTGTTTCTATATTATCATTATCTAGATTCTCTTTACACCAGTCTGGCGCTTAAAGCTTGAGGTCTCGTCCTCCATCTCTTACAGTCCCAAGCAGCCTTCCTAACCAAGCTTCAGCTGTACCATCCAAGCACATCTCGTTCACCCCCTATCTTTCTTTGGCTATTATTCTAGTGGCCATCATTCTAGTGGCTATAATTTTTTGCCATGTTAGTTTCAGTTTTCTTCACTTCCTTTGTCCTTCTGGTGGTTGAGAGCTACACCAAGAAATTCAGAGACATTTTCAGATTGTGTCCAATCCACGTCCATCTGCAATGTTTAATTTCTTCAGTAATGGGTTTCATTTTGGCCCCTTGGTATAGTTGCTCATTTGAAATTACGTATGGCCAAAAGATTTTGAAAATCCTAATCGTTATTAATGAGAAATAATAAAGTTTGAAATTTTTAGTATATACAATTTTAATTCAGTCTTGTGTAAATAAGAACATCTAATTTTAACCGGGGTAAAAAATATGAGCTAATAATTTAGTTTTCTTGACATTCTAACTATAGTGTTTCAACATGTTCAAGTTAAATAATGTTGACATGATTATAATAGCTTACAAAAATGTAAAGTTATATGTTCTAGTAACTAACTTTTCAACAAAAAAATTATTTTTCCCAGAGCATCGTAAAATTGGTTATTTTACCACTTCAAAAATTAATATTAAAAGTGGTGATTATAGGACACCGTATTTTACTCATTTCCTGTTTTGAGGAATGAATTTTATTCACCCTGAGATCATGAAATTCTTGCCGAAGTATCTTAAGATATAAATATTTTAACCCACTAGTACTGAATGCTTTGGAATCCTTTGCATTAGAGAAGCATAAAAGTTTAAATACTGATTTTCATCTTTGTCTCTTAATTTCCTCTTCTCAAACCTCTTTCATTTATGTATTACGTAAATATCACATAAATGACTTTTAATAGAATAATTCAAATGTTTTTCTATTTAATTTGAATAAACAATTTTATTTTGCAGTTAAGAAATATTTTTTGAGGAAAATAATACATAGGAAAGCATTATTCACTTTGAATCTTAATTAACTTTATTATTGAACTTATTTATTAAATTTAATTTTTAAACTTAACTACTCTCTTTAATTATTAAATTAAAAAAACCAATATAAATATATTTTTGCCTGAATTTAATTTTGAATAGATTCCCCTTGATACCAAAAAATTATACATTTTAGAATTTTACCAACATCATACTTATTGGTAAATCAGAATAATAAATATGGTGGGATACTAATGTTTTTATTTTGTATTAATTGCAGGTCGAAGTGATGTTATTGGGTCCAAACCTCTTTCATATTTGGTTTTCAATTTTCAGGCGCCTGCTTTTGGAAAGCCATGTTTATTATCCTTTGAAGATTTGAAAAATTTATTTCAAAAAGTTAGTTTAAATTTTTTTTGTTTGGTTTATTAATGTATCTAAGATGCTTTTTTGTAAGAAAAATGTGTACCTTTCTTAATGGGAAACGTGAGCTCTACAGACAAAAAATTTGTCACCCCTACAGATATTACATATATCTCTAGGCATGACAATATAAATCATTAAGTCATAGTTAGATCTGAGATAACTTAGAGAGGTTTTTCTTATTATGGATTGAGTCTATTCTCTGAGGTGGTATGTTTATCATACCACCTCATTCATGCATCTATATCATTTTTAAGTTCTAGATGATCTGGTGTAATTTAATAACTGTGAACTGTGACAAGATGACTACTTTATTCAATTCAAATGTTTTCTAAGGAAAATATATAAATGTTTCCTGCAAAGCTAACCTTTAAACATTACCAAAGCTTCAACAGCCTTTTTACATCATTTTCTAGTACTTCTACAAAATTGCACTTTTTATCACTAAATTTGGAAATATGGAATAAAATTTTATTAAAATTAAAAATATTTCAGGTTGAATACTGTATTCAATTGGAATATAACTTTTTTGCTAACTAATTGTGAAATAAAAATCAATATTCACTAATAACAGTTATTTTGTATTGCATAACTTTTACTTTTTTGTTTACTTTTTATAACTTTTACTTTTTTACATAACATTACTTTTTTGTTAGCTAATTGTAAAATATAAATCAATATTCATTAATAACAGTTATTTTTACACTTTTTTAAAGGTTTCCCAGATGGAAAAAGAGTTAACTTATAAGTAATTTTAGAATGCAAGCTACAATTACTATCTGTATTGCACCCATGCACTCTAAAAAGAATTAAAATGTAGCTATATGATTCAGTGGTTCTCAATTGCTAAAAGTACTTAATCTGAAATAACCACAAAAAAAAAATGTTAGTGACAAGGTTTTAAGTCAAACAAAAATAAAATTTTTTCCTCAAGAGTCAATACTCAATGAGACAAATACCTCACTAAATATACTATGCATAAAACAATAATAATAATATCAATCTTTTATCCTCTGCTGCATGATTTTGAAAAAAAGTTCAAAATATTTAATTTTGTAAAAAAATTATCTGTAATTTTTAAATGAAGTATCAAACTATTTACTTTTTTATTATAAGTCTTAAAAATGAATTTTTCTGGAATATGTTAAAGTTGCTTTGAAAATTATAATACCAGTTGTTATTATCGGAAAATATGTTTACATATTTCATATATTAATTAATTTATTTATTTATTCTTGTTTAACTTTTATTGTCAACCTCAGATATAGTTTAAGACAAGTTGTGCTTGCTGTCCTGTATACTAAACCATTTTATATACATGTTCCTCAGAAAACTACTGCTCAGTTTAGAAATTGTTGTACTTGCACAAATAGCTGGACAGTTACAGTTTTTTTTATTACTATTTTATCACGAGAGTAAGTGTAATAAATTCTAAATAATCATGTGTTCTTTGTAATATTCATTGCTAACAAGGTAGTGTTCAAATTTGCTTTGTGTTTTTTTTTCTTTGTTGTTTAAAATATTGATGAGGTATTTATCTTAAACATACAATAGAAAAAATTGAATTTATTTTTCAATTTACTTTTAACAGTTAAGTAAATGATTACACCATTTTTAAAGTATGTAAAATATTAAATTCAATTACAAATTTTAATTTCTAATTTGCATAATATTTCATTTATCAGCATACTGATTTAATTAGAATGCACAGAACAGTACGTACAAATGTGCAAAATAATATTAATGTAACGTATAAAGCAATATTCAACGTTTTGTAATTTTTTTAATTTTTCATCAATTTTTTTTTAATATAAGTTTAATTAGATATGCAAAATCAAAATGTAATAAAATTTTTCCAGTTGGAGGTGACTTATTTGTTTTATGTATTTTGTAGTTTGGACATCTACTTCAACATTCCTTGACAACCATTCCTTATTCAGAAGTAGCTGGCCTTACCAATTTGGAATGGGATGTTGTTAATGTTTGCCCAATGGTAATGAACTCTTTCCTAAAGCATCATAGTGTTATTTCCAGACTCAGTAGCCATGTTGATTCTGGAAAACCTTTACCTCCTGCTTTACATCAAGAACTTATAAAACGTAAGTGATTTTAATTTTTTTAGAAAAAATATTTTTATATTCTCTTTTAAAGTTAAATCATATGGAAAGTGTATAATCGAATCCGAATGTAGTTAAATATTCAAGTATTCTTATGAAGTGATTACATTAAGCATAAATAACTTTATTATGTAGCCACTATATTATAATATTTATGTGTTTTGTTCTTGGCTTGAATAATAAAGCGAATATTTTTTTTTGTTTTTGTTATCACTTGTGCATAGATAATAAGTTTCATTTTGGGGCTCCTTACTTCAAATTTTACAAGAAAATTAGTCCAAGTAAAAGTACAACTTAAAATTTTGATGTTAAATGAAACTGTTTAGATTTTAAATTAAAATATGTCATTAATTTTGGGGCTACTTAGATGGTTCTTGCATTATTTGCTCCTCAAAAATATGTTTTATGCTGCATATAATCGAAAAATTGCAGTTATTGTGATGCAAGGGGAAACAAGTATCTTTTATTCAAAAAGTTGGCGGTTCAAAACTTGTAGTTGGCATTATTTTTCTGTAAGAAGTTTTTGTTCATTGTTTTATAATCATTTATCCATTTTTGCTTAAGTTATTGGGTTTTTATATATATATATATAATACCATGTTTTTGCAAAAAAGGGCTATTT